TGGCGGCAAGGCACGGTAACGCAGCCCTTTGGCCTTCCCCATGGCCATGGCTGTGCACCTATCAAAAAAGGCTACTTCAATCTACCGTACCTAATTATTTATCTAGGAGTCCCCATATACTTTGCAGATTTTTCTTATAACTCGCTCGCAATTCCGTCTATTGGATTATAAAATTACATTATATTGAAAGGCCGCGCCGCGAGCTTTTTACCTATCCTCTATCTATCATAAAAGTTTGTGGACTAACAATGAAGATTGGAGGAGGGTCATTCCAATCGTCTTATCTTATATATACAATGTATATATTCTATTCGGCATGATTTATTTTAAAAATTATATTTTGCTACGTTCATAATATTACATAAAATGCTTCTTTTTTAATATATTTAAATCTGCTTTTACTATTTTACTTTATTCTTTTAATGCAATTATTCATTGATTAAGCATTTTAAAAGAATGAAAATTTTGATGCACGATTTTTTTTTGTTCACTATTTAATATGCAAACAAATTATTGTATGTTTGCTTGTTTTCATAAATTCGATTTTTTGATCGAAAAAAAAATTTTCGCGCATGTACATATATATATATATGTATATGTATATATGTACGTATTTATATATATATATACATATATAGTTCGCATATATAGGTTTGCAAGTCGTGTGGAATGGCCCACGTTAAGACCAAAACATTTTCTTTACTGTTCATTCGAGACGGAAAGCTATGAAGTAGAAAAAAAAAAAAAAAAAAAAAAAAAAAACTATAATTTCGTCAACCAAGAAGAAAGTTTACGGGATAAACAACTGCTTTGGGAGGATATTGGACGGGATAACACTGAAATTCTCTGTTTCAGGGAGTACTGATGCTGCAGGACCAATATCGTGCTTTGATGCAGTACAGTATACCAAAAGATTGCCATGTAGATAAACCACCTGCAAAAAATACACAAGATTGGCATTGTGTTAAGGTGAATTTATTTATATAATTCATTACTTATCTAATACAAAGTAAATTTTGCAATGCTATTTTTTTTTTATAGTGTGGTGCACATAATTTCAAGAGGCGTGAAACATGTTTCAAGTGTTCTGCCTCTCGAGCAGAGAGTGAAGAAGGTGGGGAGGGTAGTGATGAAATTAGTCCTCATCCTACGAATACAGTTCTTCTTCGTGGATTGGATGTATTGACGACCGAAGATTCAGTCTTACAGGCAATGAAAAATCTTTCATCAATGCCGATACGTAGCATCCGTATTGGACGTGATTCACTTACAAATACATCAAGAGGTGTTTGTTATTTAGAAATGGGCAATGTTGTTGATGCTATGTATTTACACACAGCTCTTACAAAACAAGGATTGGTAGTAGATGGCAGAAAAGTGGAAATTACTTATTGTAAACTTCATCAAATAAATAATACCAATACATGGAAAGGAAATGATAATCAACCACAAAGATATACTTTAGACGATGTTGCTCAATTAGCAGAATATAGTGCTAATTTATACGCTAAAACACCTGCACAGAAAGCTCACTATCTTCAGTATTATACACAATATTATCAAAATCAAATAATGCAAGGATCTGCTATTACTTTGCCATCTTTAAATCAGACTGATCGAGTGAATGCAGCTGCAGCTGTAGCACAATCTGCCATACAACAATTACAAGCCTCCAGAAAATTAGGAGATTCTGAAGAAATGAAAAATAGACCAACACCTACAGCACCTACTAGTACTGCTTTAGCAACTGGAAGAGTACCCGCACATGGTAGCGATGGTAAAATATATTGTTAGTTTCGATTTAATGAAGCAATTTCAAATAAATTAATTATAATATGAATTTTTGTAATATTCATATTTTTTACAGCTGTACCAGATGTTAGCACTTATCATTATGATGAATCATCAGGTTATTATTACGATCCAAGTACAGGATTATATTATGATCCTAATTCACAATATTATTATAATAGTCATACGCAACAATTCTTATATTGGGATGCTGAATCATTTTCATATCAACCAGCAAAGGTATTTAATTAATTAAAAGCTATATTTATTATTACATATAATTATTATTAAAGTTTTTAAATCTTGAATTATTTTTTGTTTTTTTGTTGTTTTGCATTATGCAGACTGCTACAACTGTAGCTCAAGCAACAGGAACTACATCTAGTGGAACTACAATAACTGCGACAGCTAGTAATACTGATTCAACAAACACGATTACGAATCAAGCAACAACTTCGTCAGTTACTACTGCGACTCAAGAAATTTCAAAAGAAGATGAAAATAAAAAGAAAGACAGCAAACAGGATAAAGTTAAAGTGGCAAAGAAAATAGCAAAGGATATGGAACGTTGGGCAAAGACTTTAAATCAAAAGAAAGAGAATGCAAAAAGTAATTGGAATTCCGAATTTGCTGGTGGTGATGGTAATCAAGGTGTTGGAAGTGGAGCTGCGGATGCAGGATATGCGATATTAGAGAAAAAATCTCTTGCAAATTCTTATCATGAAGATGAAGATCAAAGTGGAAATAATGGTTTGGTTGCTGCTTATGGTGGCGGTAGCGATACAGAAGAGGAAATAGAAGATGTGCAACAAGAAGAAAGACAACATACAGATTGGAGTAAATTAGCATGTTTATTATGTAAACGACAATTTCCAAGTAAAGAAGCATTGCTTCGTCATCAACAACTATCTGATCTTCACAAACAAAATTTGGAGAATTGGTATCAAGTACGTGGTTTGGATCCAAACGATCCACAGCAAAGAAACAATAAATATCGCGATCGAGCTAAGGAAAGGAGAGCGAAGTATGGTGAACCAGAACCTCCGCAACCAAATAAACTTAAAGAAAAATATTTAAAAACTAGAGTTGAAGAAATACCAGTATCGTACGAAGAACCAACAAGAGCTGGTATTGGTTCAGATAATGTTGGTAATAAGCTTTTACAAAAAATGGGATGGAGTGAAGGTATGGGACTTGGCAAGTCAAATCAAGGTAGGACAAGTATTATCGAAGCGGAAAGAAGGGTTCCTACAGCTGGTTTAGGAGCGAAATCATCTTCATATAGTGCATTACCGGGAGATACATATAAAGATTGCGTAAAGAAAATGATGTATGCGCGTTATCAAGAACTATCTGATACATAATATCTTGAGATCATTGAAAATAGATTTTATATATAAATAATACTTGTACTCAATTTTTCATAGATAAATAGGTATATATATGCATTATCCGAATATGCTGGTTGTATCTGGTAATTAAAGCGTGATAATCCATTCTTAGGAATACATAGAATTTTTTTATTAGCTTTTTTCTTTTACAATTTGGTATTATATTTTATCATTTTAGGATTTTTGAAGACAACAGAGAATAATTATGTTATTATATATATTTTTTGCATTGAACCTTAATATGTTATCTTATGAGCTGGCAGAAAAAATACAACGTTTTGACACTTTATTCATATGACTTTTGAAGTTTACGATATAATAATATGTAATAATATATGTTTCTTTATTTAACAAAAATTATATATACTTATAAAATATATACCTAAGAATGTATCACAAGTACCAGTAACTAAATAATAATTCTCTCACTCAGCGATTTTTGTCCAACTATTTGTGCACAATATAGTACTTTTCGTACTTTATACTGAAGCATTATGAAATATTTAACGAGAATTAATTTATATCATTCCATTTAAATTTCGTAATGCTTATTAAATAAAAATTAATTCACATACTTATGATTCAGTACAATTAAATTCACCACTAGTGAATATCACCACTATCGTATATTTATTAATTATACTGATTTACATTAAATTTCATGATTTATGATGTAATTATGTCAATTTTACATGCTTACATATATATGTATATATATATAAGAAGATAGTTATATTTATACTCTTACATATATATTTCATATTTCTTTTTATTATGATTTATTCCGTATTTTTGGAGATCACAATCTTCACTATACAAACACATTTCTACAGTCATACATTTTATCGTTATTTTTTTAAATTACACATGCTAAACCCATGTAATAAATAACAAATTGAAAGATAATAAAAATAAGGCGTTATTGCTTAAAATATACTCCTATTTATCTTTAAATAATCAAAAATACTTTATTTTAATAATTAAAATTTAAATATTAAATTTACAAAAAATAACGTATTTTTTAATTTTCAATTAATTATACTTATATTATATTATTCGAAATCAAAAAATTATTCATTAAAATATAACAAATATATAACTTTAAATTCTTTGAAAAAAAATTATATATTATTTTCGAAACAAAAGTTACAACCTTATTTTTACATTTCTTTTTTGAAACATATTCTAATATCTATTAGGCAATTGTACAAATAAAATATTTTCAACATTGTAAAATTTTTAATTTAATCATACTAGACATAAGTTCTAAATCTTATTCTTCTTTACATATATATATATATATATATACATACATAAATTTATCACATTATTTATTCAAAAATTAGTTTAATAAATAATATTTATAAACTCCAAAATTACTTAAAATATATCTATTATTATATTTCATATTTATGATTATGAATTTATTCAAATTAAAAATTTAATGTATCTTAAATTTTCATTCATTGATGGCATTATAATACTAGTTTTTTTCTATTGATATAAATATAATACTAAAAAGTAATATTGAGTATTAAAAATTTAAGTTAATATTAGTATATTAGAAATAATATATAATCTATGTTAGAAATATCACTATTATTATATCACTATTACTTTGATTTTTTAAAATTATTAGAGGAACAAATTTTAATTTAATTATATAGAATTTTCGTACTATTAAATCTAAATTTGCTTCCAAAAAAATTATTTTCATAAAATATTACATATCTATATAATATATTCTTTGAATATATTATATAGTATTTGGAAAATTATGATAAAAATTTTGTATCTAAATCTATCTAAATTTTAATATCATATTACAATATTAATGATTAATTAACTATTACCTTGATTAATAGTTTGTCTACTTAATTATATACTTGCACTTATTTCTTAATATATTATTATAATATCTTTGGTTGATTTATATTACAATGAAATATTTATATGAAGAATTTATATTTTAAATTTTTTAAATTGCAAAGTTATAAATAAAATATTATGTATTAACATAAAAATCATATTATTTCAAGAAAAATTAATGATTTTAAAATAATGATCTGAAATTGTCAACTAAATTATTACAAAATTTTTTTTAAATAACATGGAAATAATTTCCATTATTTTAATAAAATAAAAATAATAAAAATATAATTAATAAAATAAATATATAATTTTATATTTATTTTATTACTAATAATAAAAAATAATGATGTAACAATAGAAAAGAAAATACAAACCAAAACTAAACATCTGCTAAAATCCAAGAATACAATGGCCTTAGTTGATGATTCAGAACTCTGTATTCTAAATTACTAATTCCATCAGTATCATATCTTTTAGCACTATTTTCAAGATTTTCAAACCTAGCACTACTTGGAGATTCTTTCTTGTGTACTAACATATAATACTGAGCAATATCAGGTCCAAAACGTGTAACCTAAAATTTAATTTAAATAGAAACAATTTAATACTTTTATGATATTATGATTAATGATATTGATTATTAACGTACTTGAAAACCTTTTGATTGTAAGCGGCTATAAAAATCATCATCTTCTCCACCCCATCCATAGAAAACATTTGAAAATCCATTAACTCTTTCAAATTGTTTTCGAGTTAATGCTATTGCACCTCCAAATAAACCACTATATGGTAAATTGTAACGAAATGTATTTACACTTGAACTCATATGTCTGGGCATCTTAGTGCAAGCATAAATGTTGTCAGGATTCTGAGGTATGAGATCTACATCTTGAAAGATGAAACAGTGAAAGTCATTTACTTTAGTTGCTTCTGCATATCCAACATTGAAAAGTTTAGCACGATTAAATTCACGCATTGGACTTTGTTCTATCACAAATATTCTATAATCAAGATTTTGGGCTTGTAGAAAAGGATGAATATAATTCATAAAAATAGTAAGTTGTGTTTGACGATTTCTATATGGTAAAATAATAGCCACATTGAAAAGAGGATGACAATTTAATGGTTTCCATTGTCCTCCAGGTAATATACCTAATCGTCGCGCCATTGCTATAGGATCTTCTCGAGGATGTTCTTCGGGATAAAGCAGTTGAGATTTTTGATGATTGATCGTGATTGTGCATGAATTATCCCTTGCTGGATAAGATTTTTCCATTTCATCGTAAATATCTTCTGTTTTTATGAAAGTATAATGTGAAGCAAATCGAGCCGGGTGTAAACAATAACCCAAAACCAAAATCGTAATAATAGTGTATGATAATCCTCGTGCATAATCATAAAAAAAAGCGACAAAGATTTTCAAAATGTTAACAATACTTCTCATTCTAACCTTCGTTTCACTTAGCTATTTTATTCAAACCATTACATTATATTTCTTAAGATTGCCTTTTTTGATTACTAAATTTCGTTACTAAAAATCAACATAATTTAAAATATTATTTTTTTTTAACATAAATATAGAACTTGAATTGAAATAAAAATATTTATAAAAATACTTTCGAATATATAAATGTAGGAACTCAATTTTGACATCGACACCGGAATGATATTATACCATAGATAAAATATGAAATAGATTACTCATACAATGTTTTTCTCGAGAATTCGAGGATCATATGGCCTTATCATTTTCATGTCATGTATAATGTTATCGATTCAATATAAAATAAAATTATAATCAGACAAGAATAGACATGACATTTTATAGAATTTTATATCCCATGTTTTGAACCGATCCTGAAAAAAATTTTTCATAATGTCAGACAAAAAAGTAGTAGATGATAAAAGAAAGAGAGAAATAAAATAAAAATTGTAAAATTAATGCCATTTTTAGAATATTGTAAATAAATAAATAATAAAATATGAACAAAGATATATATAAACAAGATAAAAAACGAAAAAAAAAATAGACATTTCTTTAAAAGCAAGATAAAATAAAAATTGAGAATTGGTGCCATCTCTTGAATATTAATAACATCTTTCTAAAAACCATGTCTTTAGCACTCAAAAAATGGTGCAGATGATCTATTCTTATTTTATTTCTATCCTTTTTCTATTCTTTATTATTCTTTCTCTATATATTTATAATTTATAACATTTTGAAAATGGCGGCGATTTCAACATTTTTATATCCCTTTTTTTTCCACTTCTATTTACTCTGTATAATTTATGCGCTCGAGATATCATTGATTTTTGTTGTTTTCCCAATATAAACTATTATTAAAAATTTTAATAGACTTTATTTGATTCAATTATTATACATCGTAAGTATAACTTTGATAAAAAAACAACTATCTGGAATATATTAACAAGATTATTCTTAGCAAAATATGAAATGCAACTTCTGTAGATTTTAGAATCAACTTGATATTGCGCAGATTTTCCATCAATATGCGATGCAATAAAATAAGATTCAGTGAATCATCAATTTTATCTACAAAAAATAAAATTTGTTTTATTATTAATTTTATTAAAATTTTTTAAAATTATATTAGACTCATATTATTTCTTAAATTAATTTAAAAAATCTTAAGTAAATTTTGGATTCTAAAATTTAGATTTTTAAATTTTTTTTATTAGTTTTCTATTTTCATCATTTTTGAATAATATTTGTAATAAATTTTGAATTATAAATATATATTACTTAACTTGTAAGTAATTAACATTTAGATAAAATATATTATAAATTATTCTTTATAATCTAAGTTTTAAATACTCAAATATTAATATAATAATTTAGATTACAAATTGCGCTAATATTTAAGTTGTGTTTAATAAAAATAAAGTGAACATGTATCGAACATTTTTATTAAGCACAATTGTTTATGTGATTATAATCTTAAATTACAATTTATTAGAATTATTGATATCTGTGCATAATTGCACAGGATATATCACCTTTCTTATAATAATTAAAAGATTTTTAAGTCATAATGACATTTTACGGCCTTCAATAGATATATCCACAGCTCTTCTAGTTGCTTTTATTCGTTTACTATCTATATAATTTTTCATGTGTCTCTCAAATCTATTCATTTGTTTTTTAGTACTCTGTAATATTATATCAATGTTAAAAATATTAAATTATATTAGTAATAATGAAATATATAAAATAAAATATGTATAATTACCCTACTAATATCAACATCAGATTTCCAATCTGGTCTTATAACATAATCTTTATTAGAAGGTCTAGGAACTCTAGCTCTTCCAACCCAACCAGGATCTCCAGGTCTCAATGGTCTAAATAATCAAAAGATTAATTGATTATTTGATTGAATTATTCAAATGAAATTTTTAACATTAGAAGTATAAAGAATTCATACTTAGCATCTCCTTTCAAAGCTTTATTAATATCTTGTGATTTTTGAGAAGAACTACCATCATCAGTTTTCCTTCGTTTCTGAGGTGTTTGTTCTAAATCTCTTTGCATTCTTTCTTCTTTTGATAAGGCTTTAAAGTCTGCAGATAAATTAAATATTGGACGTGCCCATTCATTAATTAATTTTCCTGCACGTTCTTTATTTTCTTTAGTTTCTTTAGGATGCTTATAAAGATACATTACAGCTTTACCAATACCAGATTGTTTTAAAGAAGCTTGATCAATTCGTGGAAACTGAAATATATTAAACACATTTACATTTTATATGTAAATATTATATAATTTTATATTTCTATATAATATAAAAAAATACACTTACTTCCCATAAAAGTTTCAAGAGACTATCTCGAATTTTCAAAGATGGTAAAGAACGATCAGGCATAGGTGCCAACCAATCAGTTAAAACTGATAAGACATTGTGTTCCAAAAAAGCCAATTGAAGATCATGTTTTTTAAGTTGTGATAATACTTTTGGTAACATTGCTATTTTATTAGTAGCTGGTTTATTTTGTTGGTTTAATTTTCTATCTTCTTCTGATGCAGATTTCATATCAGATAACAATTGAGCTATGATGTCATCATTATCATTAATTATATCAATATCTTTTCTTTTACGACGTCGTGATTGTTCTTCTTTTTTACGAGCCATCATGCGATCAAAATCTGATAATGAATCATCTCTAAAAAAAATCAATACATTTATTGTTAGTTTAATTATATCTTATAAAATTTTTTAATTTAAATATTTTTTTTAAATTAACATTAATAATATTTTATTATAATTTTTAATCTATTATTATATGTTACTCACAAATATCTGCTACTCCTGATAAGCATATATTAAATATTACATGTATTAAATTGTATGTATAATTCAAATATATTATATTTTATGCTGAATTACTTACATTCCACCATCTACCATTACTCCATCATCGGAATCTTCATTTTCTTGTTGTTCATTAGCTATAACATCTTGAAATTGTTTGTTTTCTGTTTCTTCACCTTCTTCCTCTTGTTCATCTTCAACTTTTTTCACTTTTGTTGCATCATCATCTACTTCATTTTCTGAATCTGTTATTTCATGTTTTGTTTTTTTTGTTGCTTTAACGCCATCTTCTTCTTCAGAATCAGATAAGACTCTTTTTCTTTTTCTAATAGCATCTTCAGAATCTTCACTACGACTTCTTGATCTTTTGGATTTTGATGCTGAACGAGATCTCGATCTTGACTTGGATCGTGATGAACGTCTAGATCCAGCAACTGAAATTGATCTTGATCGTGAACGCGAAGGTGAACGTGACCTTGAATGTGATCTAGATGGCGAACCTGAAAGCGATCTTGATTTTGATCGCGATCCGGAACGTGATCTAGAGCGAGATATTTTTGAACTGGAACGAGATTGAGATCGGGATTTAGATGATCTAGAACTAGATCTTGATCGCGAACGAGAACTTTTCCTGGAATTAGGAGAGTGTGATCCTTTACGTGATCCAGATACAGATCTTGATTTTCTTGAACCAGATCTTGATTTTCTTGAACCAGATCTTGAACGTGATTTAGATTTTGATGTATGTCTCGATTTTGATGGTGTGCTTAAATGTATTATTTTATGCTCCGCTGAAGGTGACCTAGATAAGGATCCTTTTTGGGATATATTAGGTGATTGTTTTCTTGATCCAGAAATTGATTTTGATCGAGAACGAGATCGAGATCGAGATCGAGATCGAGATCGAGAACGAGAACGAGAACGAGAACGAGATCGAGAACGAGATCGAGATCGAGATTTATGTTTGCCATCAGGAGATCTCGAAAGAGATTTCGAATGTATATTATTATCTAAATTAGGAGAATTTCTTCTTGATCTATCTATTGATTGAGATTTTGATCTCGAATGCGATCGAGAATTTCTAATAGGTGATGGTGAATGTTTTTCTTCCAATGATGAAGAAAATGATATTTTTTTTTCATCTAAAGGAGATCTGGACCTACTATGTGATTTTCGACTTGGACTATTCGATGGCGATCGAGATAGAATTTCTGGAGATTTTGATCGCGAACGAGACCTAACAGTTATTTTAGGTGATACAGAAGGAGAGTGAGAATTTGATCGGGAGTGTGGTTTAAATGATGAAGGAGATCTAGAACAGGAACGAGAATTCATTTTTGGGGAAGAACATTTAGATGGAGGATTACTTCGTTTAGTTGAAGTAGATCTGGATCTAGATCGTGAATTTTCTCGAGATGCTAAATTAAAACTTTTTCTAGATTCTGAAGAACTTCTTGATCGTGATCTTCTTGAACATGGTGAACCACCAGGTGATTGTGATTCATTTTGAATAATTTTTCTATCTATTTCTGGTGATGGAGATCTAGAAGGTGATCTTGAACTACTTTTCCTACCATCAGATTTTGAACTAGATCTTGATGATCTTTGATTTTTGATAGAAGAAGGTGATATTGATCGATTTCTTGAAGGTGAACGGGAAGGTGATCTAGAATATGATTTTCGAGAATTGGCATTAGATAGCACAGAAGCTGGTGACCTTGCTTGTACAGGTGATGAATGATTAGATCTGAAAGAAAATTTTTAATTATGTATTAAAAATAGAATTTTATAATTATTTAAAAAAAATATAATTATTTAAACCTTGGAGAAGGACTGATAGAATTTGACTTTGATCTACTTTTAATAGATCTTTGAGAATCCACTGATGAGCTTCTAGATTTCTCATGTTCTTCTTCTGATTCACTTCTCTCTTTAATAAAAAAAATGATCATTATATTTTATTAAGATTTTAAAAATACATAAAATATATTTCTTCTTATGTACATTAAAAAAAAATTTAATTTTATTATTTAATTAAATTTATATTTGTTTTTTTATATTTTTTAATAATCACTTTTTAAATGAATTTGAAAAAATTTAAACAATATAACTTACCTTCACGATTCATTGCACTTATTTATAAAATACAATTGTATTTGTTAAAAATAATTACTAGATACTTCTTTTACTAAAATAATAATACACGAATTTCATCAAGGTCCTGCTAAATTATAAAATATCTTCTTGTTTTTAATAATAAATCAAAATTGATAAACATATTCAAGAAATACATTTACGTTAAAATAACTTAAGAAATAAAAAAACTTTTTGTGATATATTATAACTGGCTACTTTAGTTTGAACTTATTTTGTTAGGTTAAGTATATAAAATTATATACACGCACAACCAATTGCTATATGTCTTAAAATGAATGCAACTTTTATTATACAAATATGATTACAAAATGGTTTCTATATTATGAACATTATTATAGTTTTTATGAACATTTCTATAGTTTTATTATAATTATTAAATTATTAAATCTAATTTTTTTAGTTACATTAAATATTTACATATTATAAAAAAATATTTGTAAATAAGAATAATTTATGAATTTCTTTAAATAAATATATAAAATTTGATAAAATTAAGTTAAAGTTGTTGCATTCTATTGTATACATATTCAATGGTTTCATCGAAATTGGCCGAAGGTTTCCGATTTTCAACGAATGTACTTAAAGAACAATATGGCGGCTGTGGCAAAGTTTTCGCCGCCCGTATGAGAAATTCGCATTCATTCAAGATTGAAGTTCACGATAAACGCTAAGCGTAATAAGCCTATTTAGATTACATAGTTAACATCGCGAGTGAAAATTCGTTCGTGTCGTAACACGTCGAAACAGCCCGATGCAGGTCGCGCGTAATTCTCGTAGCTTAAATCATGACTTCGATGCTGTCCAGCTTTAACCCGCCTATCGTTAAGCGATTGTTGGGTTGGAAAAAAGCAGAAGGAGAAGACAAATGGAGTGAAAAAGCTGTTAAAAGTCTTGTAAAGAAGTTAAAAAAATCCACCGGCCTCGACGAGCTCGAGAAGGCTATTACTACGCAAAGTTGCAACACTAAGTGCATTACTATACCGAGGTACGCTTATTTTACATGCTTCTTTTGTGTGTACATAAATATTACAATTGATGGAATTTATATTTTTTGTATTATTATTTATTTATTTTCATGTATATTTCATAATACATACAATGTCAATGTAAAGATTTTGAACATTACATTAATTTATATCATGTAATTTGAAATTTGAAGAAATAGAAAGCAAATCGCGTGTTCTTTGCAGTTCATATATACGTATCATGAATTTGTATGTATAATGTCACATTTCATATTCATTGACAGTTCTTTTTATTGCTGAAAACTGTAAATGAAAACTGATTTTTCATTTTCTTATTTTATTAATTATGATATACTTTTTCATAATTATATTATAACAAGAGTTTTATTTGTAGTATTATAATTTTAATTGTGATCGATAGAGATGAGTGATTATTAATCAATGTAGTTTTGAAAAGAAGTAAACTTTAAAATTCTTGAAATTTATAGATGATTTTATAATCGATTTCAAATAATTCGGCATAAATTCAATATATATTTTTCCAAAGTAAATATAATATAGAAATTTTTATATTTTGACTTATATTATTAATTGATAATATTTCTTTCCGAAATTCTCATATGTATCATTTTTCTAAGCTTGATTTTTTTTTTTATTAGATTATTAGCATTATTCGATCTAAAATCATCCAAATGCTTATCTGCTAGTATATAATTCTATTTTCATATATTTTTGGGAATTAATACTGTTTTTTTGTCTCAAATAATAGTTTAAAAATATTTTTCAATTGAATTAAGAATTTTGAGTTTCTTTTAGACTTCAAATAATTGATCTATTCATTATCTGAAATATTTTGTAATAATTAATATACATTAAAATAAATCCAATATTTTATTTATGTTATGACATATGGTTATTTATTTGTTTATTTTTTGTAGGTATAATGCAATAGACAATATGATAGTTGTACGTGCCGATTGTACATCGTTATCTTAGTAGTTATGTAATAATCTTAACGAAGATGTGATCGCAAACAAATGAGTAGACAAACGATGCGTAACAATCTTCGATATGCAAAATGGTACAAACGAAATTTTTTTTTTTTTGTTATTTTTTGCGTTTCCGGTTAAAATAAGCAATGATCAACGTATGCAACATCTGTTTCGATTGAAATGGGTGCTGTGAATGAAACTCACGTGTGAGTCACGTTGCTATAGGATCTATCCTTTTACACGAGTATTTTCTTTGTGACTATAATCATTTTATTTTTCGTTTAATCGTAATAATCAGTGTATTAGAAGCATGTATATTCTCATTATATATTTATTTACTTACATGACCTATCATCAATAGTATTTTTCACAAATGGATATATTACTTACATATATTATACGTGATATTAATTCTACATGTTTTAAGAAATGTTGATAAAAATGATATCGCGGTAGGATTTAAAGAATAATTACATGACGTGTTAATAATAATTAGAATTGATAATATGAGATAATATAAGAATATAATATTTGTGATGTAATAATTTTTTTTCGCATAAGTTATATATACTGTTTATTAATTCATATTATTATTATTATATTATACTCGATGATAGGATAAATATCGATAATCTAATCAGGATACGCGTTCGAAACAGCCTGCGCGAATAAATCGCATATCGAAATCGATTGTAGCTCGGCGCGCAGCTCGTAACGATTTTATTAATAGTAATCCTAGCCATGTTGTCGCGCGTTCAAGGATATTCGAGGAAGAGAGGGAAAGTCTATCATCGAGAAAGGCAGATCCTTTTGTAACTTGAACGAAATGTGTTTGCTTCGCGGTTCGTTTCGTTTCACTTTGCATTACGTTTTCCATTTCTCGACGTTGCGTTAGGGAATCTCTCTCTCTTGCAGTTTTTTCGATCGATCAAGATCGCATAGTACGCGTGCGATACCGTCCGGAAATTCGATTTCATTCCGTTATCTGACTCTATACGATGTCGTTTTTCGATTAAATAATCATCTACCTGGAAAATACTTGATCATTAACTAATGTTTGATTTCGTGCTATGATTTACACGCGGATACGTTTCTAATTCACGATTGCTACTCGAGGAAATTACATTCTTGTTCGTCACGCATATACATCGACCGAGTTGTTGTAATGCTACGAAATTATTCTTCCAATTTTATTCTATCAGTAAAAATAGCTAGATATTTATGAAAGATAAATTGATAGATTAATTAATAGATTTGTAGTATAAAATTTTTTCATCCATGTTATTTTTTTCTCTGAATACGAATTTTCGCGTTATTTCTAATATGAGTTATTTATTTATCTTTAAATAATCATTCACTATAAATGTAAAAACGAAAAAAAAAAAA